AATATTGAAAACATTGAAAATCAAGTCACAACCGAAACAATATAATGTGATTCATCTTAGAATCAGGGCTACGTCCACTTAGAACACGTTGCACTTTTACTCACAAGACTATCCAGAAAGACTTACTTTACAAGAAGAACCACGAGGTTTTTATCCCCAGTCTAGGCGACCGTCCTAGCTACAAATAGCTAGGACCTGAGTTAACCTCAACACAAAGTACCAATCTATATAGCAACTTGAAAGGCACCACTAACCAAGAAAAAGTGAACTTTTCTCTTTGACTCTATCCAAGGGTCAAAGAGAAAATTTCTTCAATGAAACATTGACAAAGCATCTAATCTATCATAAAATAGTTACCTGATCTTTTCGAGATTTGAGTTCCACTTGCAAGTGGCAATCTCTCTCTCTTCACTTCAGTCAATCCGTAGCTTGATCCCTTGATGATGTCAAACAATCATCTACTGCCTGTGTCCGTCCGACTTAAACATATGGAAGGTTACTTATACATCTATATTTGTGGAAAGTCAAGCTCATTATATATGTTTATATTTGGATGTATAACAACCGTCAAATTTCAGATTCATGATCAGATTTCAAAAATTCAAATGAGTTATGCGTGAATAAAATATAGTCTGAAGATTACAAATCATTTGCAACAATAATTTCACAACAAATTTTTTGTATCCAACAGATTGCAAGATTTAGAAAATTGACTTGTTTAATCAAACGTTTTCAACTTTTTAGTTGCTTAAACTAGTACTCTTGTGTCTACATAACAACCACAAGCCATTGAGAAATCTGAAATTATAGATTCACAACTTGTCACTTATTATAATTAATACAAAATTATATTAATAGAATTTTGATATATATTTAAATATTCTTATATTATAAAATAAAATCTTAGTAAATAAGAAATTAATTTCTAATTCATGAAGTTCAAAAGAATTTAAGTAATTTTACACCAATATAATCAAATATAATTTTGGCCATAATTTAATTTATTTTTACAACAAATACATTCAATAAGGAATTTTTAATCTGAAAAAAATTATATATATTTATTTATTAAGATAATCATTTTAAATTTGTAAATCATTAAGCTCATAAAATTTTTGAGTAATTTTTTTTAATGATTTGCACAAATTCTCAACAATTACCTCAAATTTGTTGCATCTTCATAATATAAATATGAATAGATTAAATTCAAAACTAATTTTTTGAGATCCAACTTTTCTTGTTTGTTATCATCAAAGCAAAAATGTTGTAATTTACTCTATAACATTGAATTAATGATTTTTTAAGACATTTTTTGTCAAGAAATCTTTTATAAATACATCTTTTGATATAAATCCCTTATTTTTATAATAAAATATTAATATTTTTTATAATTGACATATATTTTGTAATATGAATTCTATCATAAGAATTTAGTCACTACTTATCAAAATTAATCTGTAGTTAAAATTTATTTAAGCTTGAAATTTAATATTTAAAGAAAAATGACAAAAAATGATATTTAAACTCAACTTCTTGAATATAATTCAATTTTTTTCCCAAAAGTATATTTTATATCCAAAATATATCAAAATCAGTTGAATTTAATTTTGATGAAAATAATGATAAATTATACTATAATAGACATTGAACACAAATGGTAATTTAACATGGTTGTCAAAGAAATGGTAGAACTATTTTGATGCTTGACATAGCTATATTGATTTAAGAAAATTGATGTTATATTCAATTTTCACATTTTTAAAATTGATGTGTTTCAAAAAGTTTAAAGAAATATATGCTAGATGTTTATGAATGTGATCAATAATCTTAAAAAAATGTTTGTTAGATTGTAGATAGTTAATGAACTGTTGGCTGCAAGAGCTAATTGAAAATGTATTAAATAAGATAATCAGAGTTGTTGTGTTTCAAATGGCTCATGGTATACAAGATTTATTCATAGTAGGAAAAATAGTGTATAATTATTTTTTTATTTGTAGAATATTTGATTGTCAAACCTCAAATTCAAACAATATAAGACACATAATAATACAGAATGAATAATATAAAAAATTATTGAAGCAATTTGATTCAACCCTGCTAGAATTGAAAGCATGTGAAATTATTGTTGGATTTATTATGCAGAAATTAAACTATAACATTTTGATTAGGATAAATATGATAATCATTCACTATGTTCATGACTTGTACAATTGACAAATTATAATTGAAAGAAAAATTTTGCAATACTATCAGAAGTGTATCTATTTGAAATTATTGTTCAAATGTGTTGATTTGAGAATTTGTTTCAATGAAATTTGTACACTTTTTAGATTCAAGTTGTTGATAAACATATTTCACATTGAATTGATGTAACTGCATTTATTTTCTCCACTCTTTGAAGAACAAAGTCTTAAATCCTTGCTTTTGCATTGATATTGCTAAATTTTGATGTGAATTAAAGATGTTGGGTTGATGAAGTTGTAATATTTTTTTAATTGTCATATTTCACATTGAATTGATGTAACTGCATTGATTTCTCTGTCTTTGGAGAACAAAATCTTAAATCATTGCTTTTGGATTGATAAGGTTTAATCTTGCTGTAAATTGAAGATGTTGACTTTGTGAAGTTGTAATCTTCTTGTAATTTGTCAAGTAATTTTATAATTGTCAATGAGTACTACATAAAACTAATGAGAGACAAAACCTTGTTGTGCATTGCAATCCGACATCAGTTCTTGTTGTTTATGTGAGGAGTTGTATTAGAGTCTCCAAACTAAAGTAGCTATGTAGTTCTTAATGAAAATTTGGGGACACATTGATAAGTTTTGTGGTTGTTGCAAGGATTCAACAACTAGTGGGAGGGAACTTTTGAGTAGAAAACTTGTCAACAAAGGCTTTTATATTCACTACTCTAGTCATTCTTCATAAGAGAAATTGTGGAAGGGAAGATTTGAGTAGAAAATTTCTAAACAAAGGCCTTTATATTCACTAGTCTATTCATTCTTCATGAGAGAATTTGTTAGAGTTTTCACGTTAATTTTAAATGATACATGATACTTGGAACTTTATTTACCTTTTTTTTCCACAAGTTGACAAATTTTTTCCTTTTACCTTCACCATCATAAAGCAGTTGAGATGAACTAAATATCTAGAATATTTCATAAAGAGCTCAAGGAAATGCAGGTGCTTTGATGGATCAGAGAGGTCAGCGGTAGATTCCCCCGTGACATTGCAATTTGGATAGCTAACCCTGACATTGCCAGGTTAAAATCATAATGATAGTGGACAAATATAGAGTTTGCAATCGTTGTAGTATAGTGGTAAGTATTCCCGCCTGTCACGCGGGTGACCCGGGTTCGATCCTCGGCAGCGGCGCCTTTTGTTCAATATTCGAAGTTAAGATGATTATTACAATAATCTACGATCACATATTTCTTTTCAAGGGTTTTCAAAACACAAATCATGGATCATTTGAATCTCACGGTTTAACATAACATACCTATCGTATACCAAATAGACCAATCACTTGATTTTAATTCCAGGTGTTCATAAAACACTAACCATAGTGTAACAACCACCATAGTTTAGATGATTATTACAATAATCTACGATCACATCAATCACATATTTCTTTTCAAGGGTTTTCAAAACACAAATCATGGATCATTTGAATCTCACGGTTTAACATAACATACCCATCGTACACCAGATAGACCATTCACTTGATTTTAATTCCAGGTGTTCATAAAACACTAACCATAGTGTAACAACCATCATCAGATGTTCCTATCATTAGATTTTCAGTTTCCGAAGATGCACCATCACATCAAATGTTGTCAGATCTTCAGAATTTTTGTGTGGGAGCAGCGTTTCAAGTCCACACGAAAAATGTTCTTTACAGGGTCGGGGCAAATGCTTGGCGAAATAGCAGAGCCGGCCGTGCTTGAGTCTAGCTGGAAAGTTTTTTCACTCGAGGACGTTCGAGTACTGATCAATGTATATACTACCTGTTAATGTAGCATCTCCAGAAGCCTCATATACGCTAACCAATCAAAATTACTTTAGTGCAGGACAATGTCATCGGTTTTACAAAACATTCTATTATACAAGAAAAAATCGACATTGTTGTCATTATAGCAAAGGCAGCCATCATTTGATTTGGAATTGACAACTTCTTGTATTACTGTGTCGCATGAAGATTTACATTCAATTTTATTCTGGTATTATGAAGAATAATGAGGGCTGCTTCTATACAATAGAAGCAGAAATGGCTTTTATGCTGGATTCGGCACGTTTCTCTCCTTCCTCTCTCTCTCTTTTTCACTCTGTCAGGAATCGCACTGTTGTGCACAATGTGGACGGTTCAAAGGAGGCGAGAGCGTGTTGTTGATGAATGGCGTCTCGTTCTTCTCAGCTCAGCTCCTCTTGCCGCGCCTAGGGAAATACGCCACCGACTTTCTGCGCAATCAACTTCAACGCATAGACTTCATACCTGACGCTAAGCCTCTCCAGGGATCACTCAAAGGCCGACAGGTATGTTAACGAAGGATCACATGCCGATAACGCATTTGGAACTGGCGCAGAGAGCAGACATAAAGAAACATTGTTGCCTGCCCCCTATGGTATTTTCTAATACTATATTTGAATGGACCATCTCGAAAAATACCACCTACACAATCAACTTCAACGCAAAGACTTCAGACCTGAAGCTCAGCCTCTCCAGGGACCGCTCAACGGCCGACAGGTATGTTAACGAAGGATCCCATGCCGATGACGCATTTGGAACTGGCGCAGAGAGCAAACATGCAGAAACATTGTTGCCTGCCCCCTATGGTATTTTCTAATACTATCTTTGAATGGAGCATCTCGAAAAATATCACCTACACTTCTTGCTATCCAATCGTTGTACCACAACTGTATGACAAGCTCTTCAGTTGCAAAAATTTACATTTGTTTAATGTAGTAAACACAGCTATCTTTTGATTCGGAGTTGAGAACTTCTTGTATCACCGATGCGCATGACCATTTCAAGGAATTTTCTTTCTGATTCATTAAAAAATTTTCAAGAGGGCTTCTTTCAATGTACAAATAGAAGCAGAACTGGATTGTGGGGCTTAAGAGGAGAACTGGAATCGAGACGTTTCTCTCCTCTCTCTCTCTCTCTCCTTCACTCACTCACTCTGTCCGGAATCGCACTGTGCGTTGTACACGATGTGGACGATGTGGACGGTTCAAAGGAGGCGAGAGCGAGCGACGCTAGTCGTTGCTCTGCTGGTGTGCTGTGCTGGAGCGATACTGGAAGTTGAAGGTGTAGAGAAGGTATACACTAAGAGCTTCTTCTCACCAGTATTCGAGACTTCACCTGGCAACGTGTTCGATCCTCATCAAAATGTCCAGTTTCCCGAGGGCCATTTGGCAATTCGCAGCTTCACTTGCGAAATGGTTGATGCGGACACAGGTGAACCAATCCCCCTGTCGGAGCTGTACGTACATCACTGGTTCTTGTACAAAATTGGTGTGAAGAAAGGCTTCAAGGCTCTTCTCAGCTCAGCTCCTCTTCCGGCGCCACATTTACCCCGAAGATACGCTACCCACTATCTGCGCAATCCACTTCACCGCATGGCCTTCAGACCTGAAGCTCAGCCTGTCCAGGGACGGCTCAAAGTCCCACAGGTATGTGCGACCGAAGAAAGTATGAACAGAGAGGACCCATTTGCAGCTGGGGCAGAGAGCAGACATACAGAAATATCCTTTCCTGCTCCCTACGGTTATGTGACTGGAGACATGTCAGAGTACGAGGAAGGTTACGAGGAGGCATGGTATTTAAACTTACACACAATCGATCTGAGAGGTGTCGTGGACCCCAGAGGCTGTTTTGAATGCCGGTGCGACTTGTACAACGTCACCGTAGATGTCGACGGTCACCCACTCCCTGATGACTACAAAGGTGGTCTCAGATGTTGTTATCATTTGACAAACTGTGCACTGAAACCGGGAGTACAGGCCAAGCCCAGAAGAACACAGTTGAAGTATACAATGAGCTGGGTGGACTACGACGAATCCGTGAGGCCAATCCGCTCATACTTTCTGGACGCGACTGATACGCGTGCTTCAGTTTATGACAGAGCTGACTGTAAGGTTTGTTTCAGCCAACTCACACTCGAATCGTCCTGAAGTCCTGGATCGTCCTCATTCCATGACGTCATGTTACGACATATGTATTCGATGCTTCCGTATGGTCCTTGATAATTCGTAGATTATTCAGACCAATTGTATGCACATCTGTGAATACATATTACAACCGAAGCTCGTCAATCTGACCTCGCTGAAATTACATGTTTTGCATTGAATCAAAATGCAAAAGATGTCATTAGCATCCACTAGTGCCTCCGTCCGTGGTATTCTTCTTTGTTTCTAATGCCGGTTCCATGGCTCTCGTTTTCAAATTAATACTATATATATATATATATATCTTACTTATACTGAATCTGTAATCTCGGGAAAACAAGAGTTCATGGATTAATAATACATATTATCTTTTATCGAGAACGATTCGCTGTGATGACAGGGCGAGTATGATATTCCCAAGTGCACTGACGGGACAACACATGAGTGCATCCACACTCAACAATGTGTGGAAGGGCTTCCCAACGGAGGAGATCTCATATTCGCCTTTCTTCACCAACATTCTGGAGGTCTAGGCGGGAGATTCTTCAACGAGGTATGTTTTTCCTCGTTACACGACCGGCTGAAGCCACATACCGTACTGATTTAGCAAAGTCAGATGAGAATTGGAATATTGGCCTAGCCCCTGGATACCGGTTTGGTTTCATAGAATGACTTCATGAGGTCTTCCCATCCCTTTTGTTATTTAGGCGTAGAAGCTTAGTGCAACTTGATCATTGGTGAAGACAACTCGTTTGAACGTTGGTCAACTTCGACGTATCTTTCATACTGGAAAAGCCGTGAGCGACGAAATGCATTCTCAACCTGTTGACGTATCATCATTCTAGGCCGGTGAGACATTATGCGAGTCCCTGCCCATATACGGACATGGAAACGATGCAAGCTTCGTGGAAGGCATGAGTCCTTGTAATCCCAAGCCTGGAAGCGTCAGCATTCGAACAATGGAAGCGCTGCGCATGGAGTCCAATTACAGCAGCAATGTGAGCCGAACGGGAGTGATGGCTATTATGAAAGTGTACGTTGCGGACCCCGTCGTAGAGGAATTGGAACCTTTGACTGTGCGCGACATTGAGCAGGTCGTGAACAGCGTTGAATGAAAAGTGGACGTGTTACATGTTCATTCTTTTGTTTGTCTATCGATTCAGCGTACGAAGTACGGCTTATAGCTCTAAATCTGTCGTAATTTACTTCAGAACTCGCAAGCTAAGAAGCTCGCTAAGCATACTTGCAAGGGGTCCACTTTGAATGGATGGACTTGTCAAGTTTCCGCTTCTACAACTATAATAACAATAAAAGTTACAAAGAGTTGTCATGTCCAATTATCCAATAAGTTAGTTATACTAAGATAACTAATTTCTATAGATATTACTTACGTTCATAAAAAAATATGAATTCATGATAATATGACATGGATTTATTTATAGTTTCTAGTATTATCTTTGCCAATATATTAAGGTGACAACATACTTTTACCCGTGTATATTAAAATTTTTAGAATCTCAATTTAACATTGAATAAAAATAGAACAACATTTAATTTATTAAATAAAACCGTTCAAAAATTTATTTTTTTGAAATAATTTTTTTAGAATTCATTTTTTGATTAAAGAATAAATTTTTTTTATCAGACATGATAAAAGTAATTTTGTGATATTATGAAACTTACAAAAATAAATTTGTTTTAAATAGACAATAGAAAAATGTAATCATAATTAGCTTCATTTTATGATGACTTTATAACCATATTAAAAAGATTAATCGATTTTTTAACAAACACACTCATGTATGTATGGAGATCAAAATTTAATTTTATCTAATTATGCCATCAATGATTGAAGCATTCACATTGTTCATGCACAATCAATAACATGGCGGAATGAGAAATATTGGAATTTAATAGATGCAGATTGTGGTGAAAATTTGGAGTACTTTGATAGTGAAGACATTTTAGAATATCTAAAATTCTAGGTTAGCACAATGAAGCTTAAACGTGTACTTGAGAATGATATATAGATGTATATATAAATGATATATAGATGATATATATATCTTACTTGCATTTAATGGTAGTAAAAAAGATTGTGGAGATTTTGAAAAACTTTGCAGAGTGAGATTATATTTGATAAATAAAAAATGATAAATCTCAAGGACACAAGACCTGCCAATAACTCTTGTTCTGACAAGGAACTGAATATATTTCAAAAATACATGTGGTAATGCAGTTTTTAATTTTTTTCCGAAAAGATGAAGTTTGAGAAGTATATAATAGAAATTTACACTTTTATGATGAGAATAATTAAAAGTAAATTAAATAAAGGATTATGTAGCATAAGACTAGTAAGAATTAGTTGGAATACATCTTATGTATGCCTTTGCTGGAGTTAGTGTTTTTATTCGCAGTCAATGAAGTTAAATTAGATAGGTCATGATCTGCTAGAGTAACTACCTCATAACGTTGTCAATTAGTAGCAACTTAGAATAGAAAGAATCTTGATTAATGGATTTTGGCATGCTCATTCTAACGAGCCCAAAAACTTCCGAAACGGATAAGGGATCATCGAGTTATGGCTGTTGGAAGTGACTAGTATGGATAGGGAGAAGGCGAAGAAGAACCTTCAGCTTTCGGCTTTGACACCTTTGGCTTTGAAGAAGAAGGGCCTTCGGCTTAGTAAAAGGCGGCGTCAACGGGAAGGAACTTCGACCTTCGCACAGACAGTTTGCGCAAGTTTCACGAGATGGTTAGGTTAGAGAGACAAAAATAGAAATGGAAGTTCCGCATTGGCATTTTGGGAGAGTTCACTATCGAATCGAGAATTCTACGAGGATTGCGAGTGGGTAATTGAGAGCGCAACGATGATGCAAGTTTTGGGACTTTGATTGAAGACATTGAGAGTGCCAAAATTCGGATTGAGAGCATTTTGAGATGAGCTAACAGCCGCCAAGCTCAATTTCTTACTCTGGGGTTGGAATTGGATTTGCACGGCGATCGTGAAGGAGTGGTATGAGGTTCGCACACTAGAAGACACTGAAATTTGTGGTCGTCTTGAGAGTTGGACGATTGAGCAATGGGCTCAAGTCTTGGAACCGTATGTATGTCAAGAAGGCAATTTGCTCTACGACCATCATAGCGTGAAGGTGACTCAGCGAGAAGTAAAGACATTCATAACGTTGTTTAAGTCGCCTCGATTGACCAAGAATGGATGACGGACAACAGATTACATCGACCCGCTGCAACACAATGTGGCAGTTACACTAATGCAGATTTTGAAGCCTTCGCAGACGATGTACATGACGTCTTGGCAAGTAGGTTTCATGGAGCGAGTAGTGACGGGAAAGCCAATTCATTGGGCTTGAATCTTGTGGAGCGTCAATAACAAGAATGTCAATGACAGGTTCTGGGTACATCAGATTTGTATGTCCACGTTCTTTATCAATTTCTATTGAGGTATGGAATGGCTGACAAAGGAGAAGAATAGGAAATTCCCACTCGAAAGGAAAATTATCGGATCAGAGGACGAAGGCGCTCAGGGAGGGAACAAAGTTGTCAGCGAAATTAACGATGTTGAACCTACGTAGCTTTCAGCTGAAATTAACATGTCAGACGATGTTGAGTAATCATCTGTGAAGAGGCAAAGGAGAGTGCAGACGCCTTCGGCTTTGAAAGATGTTGTTTGTCGTAGCGGTTGAGTACAAGAAGACCTACACCTTTGCGGTTGTGGATGGCAGAAACGCATGCGCGGAAGAAAGTGAAGACACGACGGAGAAGGAAGGAAGTACTGGACAGTGCAGAGCTCAGCGAGGCAACGTCGCAGCATTCAACTGTCTTAGGATCACTAGACTGCAGTGGTAGTACGGGATGCCAGAATAGATGACGAATGGCCTTCGGAGTGGCGACTTTCGGATGTGTCTAAGGAGAGGCCTTTGGCAGAATGCGAAGAGAAAGAAAACAAGACCAAGACGGAGACTTTGAGTCAACCACAGGCAATTTCGAGCGAAGATCTTTGGCCTTTGTGCGGAACCAATTCGGACGTGCGAGAAGAGATTGAAAAGTCTTTGGAGGTTACTCCTTCGGACGAAGGATCTTCGGGGTAGTTTGCGGCAACAGTTGGAAAGATTGTTACGGAGAAACTAACACTGCCTTTGTGTCAAGTGTCTTTGGGGACAGTGGAATTTGATCAGAGCAAAGGACCTTTGCCCTATAGGCCAAAGTTGGTAGAGTTTAGCCTGTCGGATCTTTTGAGTTAGAAGATTGCTCCGTTAGTGAAGTATTTAGATACGAAGATGGTAAAATATATGGTGACAGCGACTTCGGCGTGTTCTTATGTGGAGCTGATGTGCAAAAGAACAAAGGTGGAAGCATCCGCTGGGTGACAGAACAGATTGCAACCGTGACTTCCAAGTGTGCGACCGTGACGGTTACCTTGGAGGAGCGAGAAGAGCAACTTCGGAAGAAGGAGTTGGAGTGCAAAGATCTTTGACGAGAGTTAATTGCTAAAAGTAGTCTTCATAGACAGAAGTAACACGAATGCAAGGACCTTCGGGTTGAAGTTGGTGTAGTTCAGAAGGCAAAGAAGGAACTTTGGAACGGATTGAAGGAGTCTCTGGGTATGTTTCTGAGGAAATTTCAGCGCGCGGAGTAGATGACCGAGCGCCTAGTGGCAAAGGGGCAGTTTGTGGTTGCAGAAGTAGCTCGTTGGGAGTATCGATTAGCTACCTGCGAGGTTGCCAGATCTTCAGAGTTGTAGCGCAAAAGAGAGTTGGATGCAGATTGTGGAAGGTTGCAATCTCAACTATAGGCAGTTGAGGAGCAATTGATTGCAGCTCAGGCAAAATTAGTGGAGACAATGGCGATCATCAAACGTCTGGAGTAGGAGACAGTTGTTGGCTTGGGAGCTAGAGTAGAACGTTGCTTTCGCGGTTATGTGGATTACAAGATCCAAACCACAAAGTGGTTGAAGTTAGAATCGTTAGAGCGTAGATTGAAAGCGCTGGAAACCAGTGAGGTAATATGACATCGACAGTTAGGTAGAATAGTTAGTTCTTTCATACATGGTTTGAAAGAGACTAGGAAGAACTTAGAGTTAGAACTCAGAGCGGTTCTGAGTAGGATAGGAGTAGTTAGATGCTCTGCGGGTGTGGCAACTACTGCATCCGTGGACGTCGCACCTTATGGAAGCTCAAAGCCGGTGGGCGATTGTGATAACCAACAAATATCAAAATGGAGCATAATGGTATAGATTCGTTCCCACAGAGACAGATGCAACACCAAGAGTCACAATTTGTCACTAATCAACATTCTATTGAAGAATTTTACTTTTCAGGCACATGTCACTCCCAGAAGACACTGCTCGATTACGGCCGAAGGCCCGAAGAGCAGAGTATAATTGTCCTCACAACCTAAACTTATCCAATCGACGCCTATGGGAATCGCATTCGATCGCACACTCAGATTTCAAGGTAAAACCTCCCAGAATTGCCCATTCTCGACTCACTGACCGGAATGTCCATACTTGAATTTGCTTAAATTCCAAATAGCCCAAGGCTTACTCAGAACATCCGAATTGGACACGCACAGCTCCAGATGTAATAACTTCGACAAACTAGAGCGCACCATGCACGGTGACAGAACACACAAGCTCACAAATGCGCAAAGTGGATACAGATGAACAGCCAAGACAAGCCAATTGACAGAAAAGCCCCCCAAGGAAAGAGCTTTGGGCCTCTTTATTCACTTTGAACTCCTAGACATCTCAACCGCCCGAGGCGAACTACTCTCAGATGCGGTGTCATCCGACGCAATGATTACAGCGTACTCTGAGCTTCCGTCGGCTCCTAACCTACGCAACATGCTTACAATTTCTATCTATATACTCTCTCTCGTCTCTTTCAATTCGGAATCCAATTTCAGCCACTTGAGCGTTTGCACTTCCCACATCACAAATCCGCGCAGACACTTTTCTACACGCAAACGCAAACTGTCGGTTGTCTCGTCTCACAGCTGTTGGTATGCCGCCTCTACCTTCTCCACTCTCGCCTGCGACTCCAACTGCACAACAACTAACTTTAACTGCTCCTGCAACCGACCACAATCTGATTAAAATCTTACTTTACATTTTACTTCCGAAGATCTGGCCGATTCGCAATTTGCCAATTTCTTGACCCAATGGGCTAATTTGTCTACATGCTTCCAAAGTACATACGCCAGACTCGTCGTGAGCTCATCCGCGCGTTGCAGCTTTTTGCTATGAGCATCGATGCGTCCCGCAATCCTGCCACGTAGCTCCATTTGCTCCGTCTTCATCGTAGCGATATG